ACACTATAGCTATCTGACTTTTCCATGACTGATTTTACTTATTTGACCTTTCCAGGCCTCACATTTTCTGACATAAGCTGCACAATTCAGCATAAATATATGACTTACAATAGAGATCATGATTCTGAACAAAAATATTTATTTCAGATTTACAAACATGATCATTAGGCTACTAAATAAAATAAGGTGTAATTTAGTTCTGACTAAATGTTGTTGTTTTTTGTTCCAGCCTAAAAAAAAAACAATAATTGTAAAATTCATTAAAATAATTAAAATTGTACATCAAATATTTAGCTTAAATCATTTTAAGGTTAACATATAGAAAAACCATCACTTTTCACTAAGGGGAAAAAATGACTGAAAGATTACTAATGTGTAATATTTATTTAAAATTTTTTACATACAAATATTTATTCATTTGAATTAATTTCTAAACAAATAAGTTTAAGATAAAGATGTTTTTTGTTTAATAATATAGCTAAATCGTTGTCATTTATAAATAAGAAGCGTGTGAATTGAGATTGCATCTCAGTTACACAATTCAATTACACATCTGCAAAAAGAATTACAGCACAACGTATGCAAATGTGTTTTTCTCTTTCCAGGTATACAAATACGTTATTAATTCAATTTACAGAAAATGCAAACTGAATTTCATCTTCTTCTTTTAGAAACACAACAAAGCATGTTGACAACTATACCAAAATACCTGACTTGTCTCTCTAAAATCAGGTGATTTTTTCATTTAATATAATAATCATATCTCTGCATAATCTGATATTCTCATAATAGCATGTTGGCCTAAATATTGTGAAATGTCTTGTATATTCAATTCTGAAGGCTGCAGCATATACTGAGATGCACATTTCTGAACTTCTGTGTTTCTGTATGCTTACATCAATAAGTGGCTGAACATTGCATAGAGTGCTCTGTTAATCACACTGCATATTTGCTGAGAAGTACTAAAGATATCAACCACACCTTTACAAAATACAACATCAGAAAACACCACAAACAGCTCATTCACACGTTGGTAAGGAAGCATCTGTCAGTGTAAAACACACTATTGTCTGGAATAAACGTGAGCTTCTGCAGGACTGCTGGTGGCTATTGTGAATGCAACAGCGGGCTGTATTGAAGAGCATCATCCGTGCAGGTGTATTATGGCAGCGTATTGTGTTGGGCATAAAGGAGCACTTACCTGTTTTCTCTTTGATTTCACAGAGCACGCTGAACAGAGCCGGTTTAATTCTGTGACAGTTCAGCCCATGCTTTCTTTCAAGAAAAAACAGGAAGGATACAGAATAACTGATCATTCATACACACCATTAACACTGTGTTTTGCATTCAAAGTTCATCTGCTGTGTTACAAAATTGATCATCTTGATTCCCCTTGATTGCACCTCACAGCACCATACAAGATCAACCAGTGTTTCTCGTTAGGAAACCAACATTATTATGTTTCATGTGCATTTATAGAGTACTTTTCTTTTATTGTTTTAATGGCATACGTTTATATAAAACCATATCGTTATGGTGAAAACAACACCAATGTGGTAAATGTATTATGGTGCATAGTGTCTTGATTTATACAAAAGTGGTAGTCTGCAACAAATGACAATATATAGGCTAAAAAATATTTTCTACATGGTTAATAATAAGTAAACACCAACTGTTGGGACAACATACAACACATGACATAACTGAATTAATAATGCAAAAATAATGCAAATAATGTTTAATAATAATAAAGCAAATAATGTTTTTGTTTGTTCTAAATAAACACTGACTATTTGTCAGGTCAGGGTATGCTTTATAATTTAAAATTTCTGTAGGCCATATTTTATATACTTTATTTTTTTTTATATTTTTGTAATATTATTTAATATATTATAATATTATATTTTATTTCAAATATTTTTGCATGTTACCTTTTATTTTTTTACTTTTTTGCTGTTTCATGTATTGTTCATTTGTTTGGTTTATTTAAAAATATTTTATTTGTATTTTGAAATATGTTTGTAATATTTAATATTATATTATTTTAAATATATTGGTATTTTTTTATATTTTGCAATATTATTTTATTATTATTATTACAATATTATTATTTATTTTTTTAAATATTGTTGCATGTTACCTTTTACATTTTTGCATTTTACCGAGTTTTTTTTTTTCATAATTGTGTTGCTGTTCACATTTCCCTGAAAAGCCTATAATAAGCTGTTTAATGTTACATTGTGACAGCGTGCCCCGATATCGGATGTGTGGCGTGTTAAATTAATATTATCTTTTTTTCCTGGACAGCAACTGTGCAAGTACTAAATAGTTTTTTTTTTTTTTTTAGTCAAGGCTGTAGAAATGGACGTTTAAAACCACACTGATAAATATTTGCCGGAGTAAATACACCTTATTGTTATTAATAAATTGCACTAACATGGGCAGCAATGTAGTCATTGTAACACTAACTTAGCCTGAGCCTCGTCCAGGCTCTGGTCGGTGATGGTCATGATCTGATGCAGAATGTCTCCGATGTCCTGCTTGTTTCTCGCGTCGGTTCCATCATGAGGCACCGGTAAAGCCAGCGGGTGTCCGGTGAGGGTCACGCCGCCCAGGGTCTGCATCAGATGACTCTGCTCCTCCATCCTCTGACTCAAAGAGCTCTGACTTTTTAAAAATCCGCTCAAGAGAGATTTTGATGCCGTCCTGAATCAGTGCAATGAAAATGACGGATGCGCAAGAGTCCCGAGTGCGAGAAAACAAAAAGTGCTTTAATAAAACGATCCACTGATTTCCAGAATCAGAAACAGTCTAGTGCACTTTGATGCTGTTACTGTTCATCATTTACCTCGTTGCAATGCTTTTTCACACTGTTATCCAGTGGCAGCTTCTGCAAAACTTCAGAAAATCCCCCTCTATTTGATTTCCATCCTTGAGTAGAAAATTAATTAGTGATAAAAATGAGATGCATATAAGCTGCTATAAACCACTGGCTTTCCAGAGTTCTTTCTTCCTGTTGTTGAGCTGTGGAATAACACGGACAGGTTGTTAAACGCACATCCCGCTCTTCTGGATGATCTACAGCAGATGTAATGGGTTGTGTGTGGATTCCTGTGTGCGTCTCGAGCACAGCAGCTCCTCCTGTGTTGCACAACAGTGTGCAGGCAGTCGGCTCCGCCCACCTGGGGTCTGCAAATGTGCATCTGTGCTCACAGTTACATGCATATAGGTCCAGAGTCTGGACGAGGCTCAGGCAGAGTTTTACAATGACATTGCTGTCCATGTCAATACATTTTATTAATAACAATTTATTAACACGCAGGTTCGCACGACACATTTTTATCTCCGGAGAATTTTTATCAATGTGGTTTTAAAAGTCCATCTATACGGTCTTGAATACAAAAAAAAAAAGAAAAACTAATTAGCACTTGAACATTGCACTGTTGCTGTCCAGGAAAAAAAAAAGATACAATTCGTTTAACACGCCACACATCCGATAGCGAGGTATGCTGTCACACCATATGGGGTAAGTTGTCACACTGTCATCAAACAGCCTATTACAAGCTGTTCAGCGTAATGTCAACAGTAACACAATTATGAAAATCAAAATTCTGAAAACAGCAAAAATATACACAATAGCATGCAAAAACATTAAATAAAAAATGCAAACTTAAAAATACAAATACAAATATATTTTAAATATTTTAAAATAAAATAATACATAAAATGGCAAGTATATACAAGGTTGCATGTAAAAATATTCAATTATAATATGATGATAATAATATAATATTAAGTAAAATAAAATATATAAATATTTTTGAAAAATAAATATAAATAAAATACATTTAAAATATATTATGTATAAATGTAATATAAATATAAATGTTATGATATAATATCAAATATAAATGTAATATAAAATATAGCCTACATACTGTAAATTTAAAACTATAAAACACAACTTACCCCGACCTGAAAAATAGTCTGTGTTTAATTAGAACAAACAATGTTGGTGGATAAGATGGTGTTCAATTATATTAAAATATTAATATTTTGAGTTACTTTAATACTTCAACAAACTACATGGACATGAAATAATATATATATATTGATTTTATAAATATGTATGTGTATATATATATATATATATATATATATATATGTGTGTGTGGTTGTACATACACATATATGTAGTTGTTTTTTGTGTGTGTGTTTGGCTTAGTGTTATGTTAGAATCATTATTATACTCTTATACCTTTTGTTCTTTAATATTTTGAATTGTTTTTAGCTTTATGTTTTGTTTTTCCTTTAAATGTTAAGGTATGAAATTTTGTTGTATGCATTTGTCATTTTTATTTAATCTCTTTATTTTTAAAATGTGTTTAAGTAGTATTTATAAAGTTTTAGCTTTTAATTTTGGATCTGTTTTTAGTTGTTTTAATACTACAATTGATTGCTTCTGTTGTCCTCATTTGTAAGTCGCTTTGGATAAAAGCCTCTGATAGATGACTAAATAAATAAATAAAATTAAAAGTGTAGAAAATATTCTATAGCCTATACAGTGTCATTTGTTGCAGACTACCACTTGTTGTGTGTCAAACAAACGGATGGGTGATAGATAGATAGATAGATAGATAGATAGATAGATAGATAGATAGATAGGTAAAAGTAAAAGATAGATAAATAAAAGTTATGTAATTTTAAAAGCATGCTTGATGTGGTAACATCTAAGGTATCAGATTTTATTCAGTCAAAGATATAATTTAGTTTGATTGAATCAGCCTGATGAAGTGTCGTGACGTGTCGTGAAGTGAAGTGAAGTGAAGTGAAGTGACGTGTCATGTCGTGTCGTGAAGTGACGTGACGTGACGTGTCGTGACGTGACGTGTCGTGACGTGTCGTGAAGTGAAGTGAAGTGAAGTGTCGTGAAGTGACGTGACGTGACGTGTCGTGTCGTGACGTGTCGTGTCGTGTCGGTGTCGGGTCGGGA